TATCTATCTATCTATCTATCTATTTGTCTATCTATCTATCTATCTATCTATCTATCTATCTATCTCTTTTGTTTTACTGCCAAGTAAGAAGAAGAAGAAGAGCCACGCCCCCCTCCGTGCCAAATCTAGGCATGCGCGAGGTTCAGACCCAAACAACAGGAGAACATGGCGGTACAATGGCTACCACGAGCAGTGAGCCCTGAATGAAAATGAATGAAACAGTTCTGTTTCACTTTAGATATAAATTGATAACCCTACACAGTGGCGGGGGTTTGAAGCTAACTCTAGCTAGACAACTTTTTAGTTAGTTTTTTTAGTTTTATCAGAAAAGATGTCATTCATCTACTGTGACGTTGAGATGGTTTGAGCTGACCAGCTTCAGGGTGAATTCATATGAATTCTTATCAATAGTGCTGATAAAACAGTAGCAGGCTTCATTCAATCACTGTTCACACCCAACTTGATAAGAGTTGGATTTAAATGGCAGCGCATCAAGCACTGTACACTTTGTTCACATCAGCCTGTCAAGTGTAGTTTAATAAAGTTGCAAAAATGAAAATACTAATTTGTATTATTTGTAGTTTGAGAGTAAGGTCCATGTTTTTTTAACACACATCAATAAAGCGTTCCACTGTGATCATAGTTGGCTTTGTTAATAAGCAGTGCGAGCAATCTTCATGATGGTGAAAAGGGCACTAGTGAATATGAACACATGGTAAACTGGGGTGACAAATAAAGGAAACCCCACCTGATTAAATGGAGGTGTGAAGTGTCTTAGTCTTAGAGCAGCTTCAATTCTCTTTACCTAGTCTGTGGAACTCTACTGGAGGGATGAACCTCCTCTTAGTCCCTTTCAGTACAACCTCTATTTAATTAGTTAATGCCATTGAGATCAATATATGGGATGTTTGGTCACTGTATAAAGAATATGAGTTGCTGAATCTTAAAATTGCATTTAGTGTTGAAATGTTTTAATGTCACTATGTTGTGCTTTGTCGTTTTAGAGCCACATTACCATTAAAAAGTCGAATGAAGCGCGAGTACCTGTACACAAAGCTGGGAACTTGTTTCAATGTCCTTTCTGCATTGAAACGCAATTTAAACCAGCAAGGAAGGATAAGGTTGAGGACCATTTAGAAGGACATCATAATAGGGCAGTCATCGTGGAAGGTAACATTATTTTCTTGTGAATATGAATGTTTTTATTGTAAATGTTACAGTAACTCTGTTACCTGTTGCCACCCTGTGGACAATAATAAAGCCAATGCATTTTTTGCACAGCTTTGATGACCAGGCAATCATGAGCTTACCCTTATGCCAAACATTGGGAAACATACTCCAGGTAAATGTTACTGAAATATTTATTCAAATATCAATCAAGGAATGTATTTGTCATTGTACAGCACTGGGTTTTCTTTCTATTGGCTGTACTCAGGTCTCTTAATATTAATGAGATTACCTGATTTAATCATGGTTGTGTTTATAAATGATGGAATATCTTTTGGAGGAGGTTCACCCCTCCAATACAGCTCCACAGACTTGGCAGGGAGCATTGAAGCTGTTCTAAAGGCTTGTAGCAATACTAAGGCTCCTTCCTGAAAATACTTCATAACGGTTTTACTTGTAATCTGTGCATATATGCAGGGGGTGTCACTGACAAAAACTCCACAATGTATACATGTATACATACAACAAAGTATAATAACAGAGTGCCCTTTCATGTAATATTCGTCTATGTCATTTGTAAATCCACCAATAAACATGCATAGCCCTTAACAACCATTGAATACAAACAATTTTTGCATCTAAAGCATTTCCTAATCTACACTCAAACCAATAAACTACATTAAAATGAATGAATACTTGCTTATGAAGTCCATGTGTCCTGCAATGCCCTGTCATTAATAGAAGGACACTGAACATCTAGTATTCTAATCTGAGTGGAGATATAAAGGTCCAGTGTGTAAGATTTAAGTGAACGATATTTATAAGCTGTTCTTACCAGTTTGTAATCATCTTAATTGTACAAATTGTTTTCTTTACAGTAGTCCAAACTGTACAAACTAAACATCTTTTGAGTTTTTATGACAACTGAAGGCTGCTACAGGGGAGGGTGAGTTGAAAGGTGTTCAGCTGCAACATGCAACTTCATCACTAGATGTCACTAAATTCTACACACTGAACCTTAATTTAAAATCAATGACATTTGCTACAAAGTATTAAACTTGCAGATGAAGCATTTAAAGCTGATGGGAAAAGTGTTACATACAGTGTCCTACCATAAAAACGTCTTTAAAACTCAAGTGCTGAGACATTGCCAGTTTTATGTTTGTCATCACGAAACACTGATGGTCGTTGATTTCTTTTATGTTGAATGTTAAGATTTCATGTGGGCAGAGCAAGCGTCACCCAGTCTTTCAAATCAATGGTCAGCTATGGAACTGCAATGCGGCCTGTAATGCCGGTCAGTAATGTGTGTCCATGTCAGTAGTAGTGTGTGTATCATTCAACAGCAGGTGGGCAAGATGGGAGATGCAAATTTAACAAAAATGACTGGAGGAGGTGTTATGGCCCCCTCTGGTGTCCAACCCTTTTCTCCGCAGTTTTATTTATTTAAATCAAGGGTGGCCCTTCCTGCTCCACTGTTGGCTAGTAAAGTGGTGTAAGATGTGTGTGTGTGTGTATATATATATATATATATATATATATATATATGCGTGTATGTATGTTTATTGTATTGTATCTGTGTATTTGCATGTGAGTAGACATACAGCTGTTTTAGATTAATGTTTATTATGTAGGCATCAGCTCTTTTAACTTAACACATATGAATTACAACATGATTATTCTGTTTAAAGTCAGGATAAACTGTATATTTAAGAAGTATTACTAATTGGACCTATTCTTTTCTCCTTAAATATGTGTCACATTACTCTTTTGATCCAAATCTAATAAAATGATCCTGCCTGCAGGACAACTAGTTTGATTATCTCAAACAAGTTGTCCTGCAGGCGTGTTATTAATAACTACCAGACACCTTCAAGTCAGCACTGTGGGAGTATAAATTCCCCAAAAAAGGTTGGTCTGGTTCTGTTGGATATTTTCTGTTAAAATGGGGTTCTTTCTTTTCACTGTCACCATTTTCCTCATGGGGGGAACTGTTAGATGTAGTTATTGTAGAATAGATATAAATGATGTACGGTCTCTGAGAGAGAAATCACCCCTCATAACCCATGCCCAAAAAAAGGACATAACTCGTGATGAGCAGTCTCTATGGCCTCATCTTAAGGGACCACATGCCAAGAAGGCTGAGAACCACTGACACTATACAGAAGACAAGAAATTGTTTAAGACAGAGAGGAGCATGTTGTTCTCTCTCCTGGAAACAATGGACTCTCATACAATGACTCTCCCAAAGCAAACAGTATCTGTAGGCAATGTGATTTTGATTTAGGCCACACGTTCATCCAAAGTGATTTTCCGATATTTAGAGATACAAAAATACTAATCATAAAAGTCATAGTATTGGACCTTCAACTCACCACCTCATACAAGCAAACATACTCCTGTTCAAACATTCAACACAGTGCTATAACCAAAGTCCACTTTTGTTGAGTGAGCAGAGAGATCACCATCAGCATGTCTGTAAGTATCACCATATTACCCTATTGTGTACTTATATAGACATTATAAACTCGACGGGAGACTATACTTTAGTAAATGAAAACATACAACAACAAAGTGAGGAAGAGGTGGATTTCAGAGCAGTTTTACAGAGCTGCTTTCAGATGTTGCTGCCAGCGGCACAGCTAAGCTAATTGGTTTTGTTTCTGCCTTAGACCAAACTCGCATACAGACTCAGAGGTACAGGCTCTTGCTTTTCATGAGTCTTGCTTTTGACCCACACCCCTGCAGTCCTGCTCAGTCTTTCATATGAGAAAAAACTGCACATCTCTGTCAACTGGAGGTCGTATTGCTCTTATCATGTGGCCAATGTAATAAATGCAAGTTTAAACTTAAAGCTCCAGTGTGTAAGATGTAGGAGAAAGGGATCTATTGGCAGACATTTAATGTAGAATAATCCTCATGATGTTTTCACTAGTTCATTTCATCTAAATTGTATGAATTGTAGTTTACTTTACCCCAGAAAAGGCTCTTTATATTTAAATACTTTATATTTAAATACTTTATATTTACATCGAGGGGGTCCTCTCTACGGAGGCTGCCATGTTTTTTATATTAGTCCAGACTGGACAAACTAAACACCTTTTGAGTTTTTATGACAACTGAAGCTACCACAGGTTCTTTTTCATGTTTGGAAGGAGAGGGTGAGGTGAGGGGTGTTCAGCTGCAACATGCAACTTCAACACTAGATATCACTAAAGTCTACACACTGTACCTTTAAACTAGAATTCTCAAATACTCCACATGAAGTGAGTGTGAGAGCCATGTCATCCAGCATTAGTATGTCTTTTAAATTTACATTCACAACTAGTCAAATGTGTCTTTAATTTAAAATGTCCTTTTTTTTGTATGGGTCTTCAATCTCTGGGACCCCTCCACCTTTCTGTGATTATGAAGATCACCCCGAATAAAAGTTTTTGTCCACAGGGCTCCGTCAACATAGAAGTGTCTCCCCCTCCCTCAGGCCTTGAAGCAGAGTATGAGACACTCTTCACCACTGATTCTCTCCTCTTCCTTCATGAGCTCATCTCCACATTTGATGAGGAGGTGAATCAGGTGAGACAAATGTAAAAACCCTTTTTATTGAATGAATGGACTTGTTTATGTTTAATTCAGGGTGAGGCGTTTACTCTTCTCTACACTCCCTCAGTGTCTGTGGCTACGAGTTGCCAAAAAGGCCAACTTGGAGCTGTCAGGTCACCTGCCAGGTTTCCTGGAAGACACCATACACATCAGAAGCGACCCAACCTGGAGGGTGCTCCCCTTACCCCCGAGACTCCAGAGAAGACATGTGGATATTGGGGATTTAGCCCCATGCAATAGTCAATGCTTTGTCAAAGCTCTCAACTCACCAGCACAAGGCATTCAGGTACCAACATCATTTACCTGTGACCATACAAGACTAACCCAGTAACTGTATCATGGGCTGTACTGTTTAATTAATTTAATTAAATGTTTAATTTGATTAATTCTGCTCATCAGACTATTGGACATCTGTTGCTTAGAGTTAAGCTTGTGTCTACTTGAATTTACTTGAAATGGAATAATCTGGACTGAGATAATCACAGAAAGACAACACAAAACAGTTCAAATAACCTAAACCAGTGAAGGGGACTGTTTCCTGATTTAATCCTAGGTGGTGTAGAAATACAGGAAATTTGCTCCGACCATGCAGATCACGATATATAATGCATAATAATCATACAATATAAATGCAAAATAATGATATTAAATAACATTTAATAATTTTCTGTCGATCCAGTATACACTGCCATGAAGGCAGAAATACACACTAAAGCACCAAATGTGGACATAGCAATAACCTTTGAGTCTGTGTGTGACTGGTCTGAAACACTGTACATCATTGATTTTTGTCTTTTCATAGGATTTGGTGGCGAAGAAAAAAGTACCTGCAACCTTATCCTTAAAGTATCAGAATCAAATTGTGAAGAAAAGTTCCTGCTAGTTGACACGTTAGCCAACAGATCGGTGTCCTCTGTCACCGCAGCCTGAACATGTGGAAAGTGACATTTGAAATCCTCTCTTTGTTTTCGACAGGTCGATTTCGATGATGGGAACTGCCCTACATACTACAACCAGATCAAAGGCATTCACAATGTTGTTAAAGCGGTGCACAACCAGTTTCCTGGTAAGTTAATATTGGTACAGCTTTGCTACATGGACAAGAGTATTTGTGCAGATGCATGGTGTGAGTATTCCAGATGTGGATCAGAGCAACAGTCACAAAGCGCGGTTTCTAATGCACCTCTCTTTTCATCTGCTTCTCTCCACGTGTTACAGACGTTCCACACATATCTCAGGCTCCTGTGCTGATGCTGCGTCCCCGTGCTTGGAACATGGTTGAGCACAACATGATGGTAGTGAAGCGTTTTCCACTCCAATAATTTATTGAAACCTTTTTTCTATGCTGGTTTGACAACAAAGTGGTTTATTTGATAGTGACCTTCATCAATGGCTTGATCTTCTAATAGAGATGCTACAGGCCATTGATTACTTTTGGTTGGTTTGATCACTGACATGCAGAAGCTCTTGTTCCACACTCCAGTCCTAATGTGGTCAGTTATGACAGGAAGTTTCAATCAAGATGCAATGTTTTAACATGTAATAGCCAGACTGGATATACATTCAAATTGTAGACATGATTTAAGTCTAGTCACAAACAACATTCTTCATAAAACAAATTACGTTTCCATTCACATGTTTTTAATTTTATATATCCGCAATTCAGTGTTGAAATACTGAACTAATATTCAGCTGACATTGGGCAGGAGGCAGGGTACACCCTTTGTTCATCATTCTATCACAGGGCTGACATATAGATTCATTCACACTCCCATTCACAGCTATGGGCAATTTAGCGTCTCCAATTAATCTAAGCTGAACATCTTTGGACTACTGAGGAAGTAGGAATACATGAAAAAATCCCATGCAGGCATGGGGGGAACATGCAAACTCAACAGAGAACAAAATACATAATGACTGGTGAGTATATCATTTTAGATACAAAATAAAGAAAAAGTAGTAAAAAATAGGATCCATGTGGTTTTTACGCAAATTACTTTTGAGACTACTTAGCCATAAAAAAGCACCTTTCACAAGACCTCATTTGGACAGATCACACAGGCAAGTTTTGTGGTGAGTCTAAAAGAACCAGAACGGAGGGGAACCACCAGACTCTTCGAGCTTTCCTCTCTGGAAATCTCTTCAGTGAAACAACAGAGGATCACTGCCGAGTTAGATAATGCACACCATGCATGGCTATACCAAAAGGTGAGAATTAGTTTGAGCAAGTTCTTTTGGCTAAAACCAGCAGGGATCATCATCATCATCATCACCATCATTTTTCCCACTATCTGACATTAGGTGCTCTCCACATCTGGCTAAAACAACAGATCACTCAGTAAAAAGAGAATTCATTTGTGGCCATTTTAATCTTAATCTTTTTAGATACCAGCCATTTTCTGGTTCAGGCAGTTCAAAGGAGGATTCATTATTTTTCAAATGAATGTGAATTGAATACAATCGGACAGCATAAGCTCAGTGTTGTGTTAATTTGTTATCATTTAGGTGTTATAGGCAAAATCTGTGCATGGTTGATCAAAATAAAAACAACTTTCCTGTTCTTCTGTTGGTCAGGTGGAGGGTAAGGAGGCTCCTGGTCCTCTCTTTGACTTTGGACTCCTCATGTTTCACTGTGGAAAGAGACTGTTTGAAAACGAGAGTGGACCCTTTTTCTACCTATCAAAAGTAACACAAACACACACACACACACACATATATATATGGATAATTTGTGTAATTTGAACATCATCAATTGTATCTTGTTTCAGATAGAAAGCTTCATGGAGGCCAGACTATGGAACAAGATATTTGTCTGGACGCAACAGAAGGTCTGCACATGCCTCACTGTCTTTGTTTCTGACTGTGTTAAAAGTTTATGGTATTCATTTACACCCAATTCAACAAAAATACAAAAAAATTCACTTTCAGTAACTTAAAGATCATGTTTACATTTGGTATATATTTACATATTTTGTTGTAAGCCACATTCACCCATACTTGTGCTACATTCTTCTATAATGTAGCACTTCTCTTTCACTTATACATCCCATTCACACACTGACAGCACAGTCATTCAGAGAAATTCAGGGTGTTTTCCCCAAGGACACTGCAACATGCTGACTGGGGGAGCTGGGGATTGAACCAGTTAGTGGATGATCCGATCTATTACATGCGCTACAATACATAACGTAATGAGGAAAAAAACGGTTCAGCGGTCTGGTACTTATTTTGTTTCGAATGAGGGATGACACAGACCTACACAGCTCAGTCTGCTTCATGAATCTCGAAATGGGGAGGCAGCCAGAGTTAACTGAGTGAATGTCAGTGCTCTGCTTGTACCTTGCTTGTAACATTTTAAAAACGGTGGGTCCATCCCAGATGCATCTAACACATGTGCCATCTGTTGTTAAGTGAGGGGGTCACTGGTCTGATTTAGCCTGCAGGCACAGATCAGAAATTTTTTTTACTTTATAGTTGTGAAAAAACTAAACACATACATCCAACCTCCCAATCCAATCATAACATACACCCCTGTCCTTCTAATACAGTATATTATTTTTGGGTTAAAAATTAAACTTTAAAACTTTATTCTTGAGATCTCAGATTGTGTTTTTTTAAGTGCCTAATATTTCACTTTACATCACCTTAGTCAAACACTTAGGATGCAGACTCTCTCTGGTGCTTGTAATGTGCATCTTGCATCACATGCTATTTCAAGATGATCTAACATCCTCTAGGTCACATTTAGCGATGTAGAGATTCTATTTTTAAATGGCCTTTTCATTAAATATGTTGGCATTTCAATGTATAATTCGTTTTTTGACTTGTTTTTAACATTTATGAATATTGTAATTCTCCTATTGGTAGTTACTTAAAAAAAGTTGTTTTTTTTGTTTGTGTGTGTGTGTGTGTGTGTGTGTGTGTGTAGCTTGGCCTTCCCATTGGCAGCATTAAGGCAACGGTGCTAATTGAAAACATATTAGCAGCTTTTGAGATGGAGGAGATTCTTTATGAGCTGCGAGACCATTCAGCGGGACTCAACTGTGGTGTCTGGGATTACTCTGCCTCCGTTGTCAATAAGTTTGGTGAGACAAACATTCTGGCATTCTAGCAGTATTTTTGTAATGAACAAACAGAACACATATTTGGCCATAATAAACAAAGGCCATGTCTCCCTGACTGAAATCAAGCGGCCTTGTGTCTTTCCTCCAGGACATCGACAGGCCTTCTTGCTGCCTGACCGCAGGAAATATGTCAACATTGACACAACCTTCCTGCGCAGCTACATGGACCTGTTGATCCAGACATGTCATCGGCGGGGAGCACTGGCCACAGGAGGCATGTCTGCTTTCCTTCTACCTCAGGACCCCCTCTCTGAGTCCCACAGGACAGTGTTGGCTACTGTCACCAGGCATGAACTGTTCACACACATACATGTCCTTGAAAATTCAAGTTAAAATCATTGCAGTGAAGAAATGTAAAGTATGCCTGCGAAGTTGGCACAGGGCCGTTATCTGTACCAACATAGTTTATAGGTATCACCGATGTACATTTACGTCTGTATGAAATATGTCGACCTGACAGTTTGTTCCCACAATTCAGACAGAAGCTGATCGAGATCAAGGCAGGTGTGGATGGTTTCATGGTATATGATCTGAACCTGATTGAGCCCATGCAGACAGTAAGTACAGGATAATGAGCCATATAAAGCCCCATATTAACACAGAGAAGCCAGTAAAGTGCCTTCCATTTCTCCTCATCATCTAAACCTTGACTGGGCTTCAACTGTGGTGCATTCACCAGACTGGATATGATATGGGAAGACACACAGCTATAAGGTATTGCAGCTGACTGATTCTATGCTCTCAGAGAAAACACCAAGCCTGCTGCTTTGAAGATGGAGTTCATCAATCTAAATCTTAAATCTTAACTGAGCAGTAAGGGTCTCATCAGCCTGGTCAGTAATCAGTAGTATCATCTATCCAGCATTTTTTTTTTTTTTTATCCGATCACATATAAATTAAATAAATTAAATAACACACTTAACTCCTGATGCAGCTGCCTCTCCCTCGCCATAGAGCGGGCCGCCTGCACAGAATAGGCAATTAAGAGAGGGACAGAGCCCAAGGGCACATGCAGAGAGGAATGGCAACCACAAAAAAAATACAGGTGCAAAGCTGAAGCTAAGTATTGAGTAAATGGTTTGTAATTAAAAAAAAAAAAAACTTTTAGTCAAATTCTGTTTTCACTTTGTTGCTATGGGGCATTGAATTTAGATTGATGAGGAGAGAAGAAGTTTCATCATAAGACTGCAACATTACCAAGCCTGAAGAAGGTAACAGGTCTGAATGTATGTTTATGGTCATTCTTCACCTCGTCCAGCTCTTCAAACTTCATACTGAAGGTGATAATCAGCTTCACCAGCTTCGAAATGATGTCACTGTGACTCCTGAGGATCTACTCTCCGTACCTTTGGTGAGTCAACCAGAACTGAATTCTGGGAAAACTGAATGTTTTACTCTCTGTAGTCATTTGTAGGAAATGAAAATCCCAAATCCACCATACATTCATTTAATTTCTACTAGAGGCATGATTCTTTCTAAAGCCATGTCTGACATCTTAGACGTTCATAAGATGAAAATATAATACTGACATATTGGCTTTATGTAAAATAAAGATATGCTGGTTGTGTTGTGTGCTATGCTAACAAAGCAGTGTGTCTGTTCCCTTAGGGAGGAATCACCCTTGATGGTTTGAAGTATAACATTGCAGTTGGTGTCCTCTTTATTAATGCTTGGCTCTCAGGTTAGTGCATTCATGTTTTCTTGCTCTCCTCATTTTCAGTAGCAGACCAGATGAAGTGAAAGACATCACAGTTGTTGTGCTCTGTTTCCTGTAGGGGAAGGTGTCTTTTTCTACAGAGGCTGCGTTGAAGATTCAGCCACAGCAGATATTTCCAGATCACAGGTGGGTTTTAGTCCACCGCAGAGGAGATACTTCTAAATATATCTTTGTTAAATCAACCGATCAACATTCTGTCAGCATTCCCAACAGCATCACTGTGGGTATAACTTACAAATTAAAGAGCATCTACCTAAATCCTCTTAATTTATTTTTGATTTTTATGAAATACATTAATAGGAGTTATTAATATTTTTCATTGTAATCGTGTGTGTGTCAGGTGTGGCAGTGGATCCGTCATCATCCTCAGTTGGAGGATGACAGCAGGGTGGTGAGCAGGCAGCTGGTGACTGACCTCATGAAGGAGGTCATGGTGGAGCTCAGCAGTCTGTGCCATTCTTTAAGGTAAGCAGTCCTTACTCAACATCTTTTAGCACAAATGTGATGAGTGATCAGGACACGGTGGAAAAACTCAGTGGTCATCACTTGTGGTCTTGAACATACTTTTTATAACACATTTTGTCATCACCTACAACATTTTGTGGAAGCAAGATGTTACAAGTACTCTTATTTTGCTTATACACTAAATGGGGAAGATAAATACAAATATATTTAAATATAAATACAACAGAGTAAACATTAAATAGAAAATAAATTTATAACAAATTGAAATAAAAACCAAAATGCGCAATAATGATGAGGTACAGTATGGTTCAAGACTGATTCCAAACATTTGTTGGTGAGAAAAATGATCAAGCTGAGGAGCATTATATAAAGCTAACAAACTATCGGCTTTGGTTTCAGTTTCACCCAAAGCTAGCCTGATGGTAGTGAACAAAAATGAAACCCTGAAAGCCCTTTGTCTTCCACTTAAGCCTTAATTCAAAGTATCTGGAACTTTTAGTCCTAAGCACCATGGTTCACCTGCGTTTTCACCATGATCTAAACACCAGGAATGATTCTGCTGATGTTTACACAGCAAATAACAAGCTCTTCGACTGCATATAGAGAGCGCACTACACTACACACAATATCAAAAACATGGAGGACATTTCGATGTTTCTGCTGTTGATCAGAAAGGAGAGGAGCACGAGTGAGGAAACTGATTTTAGTAGATACCGTGAGGATTGCCTGCAGACTGAAATAAAACGCACTTGACCAATCAGGAATCTTCAGCACTGACCCCACCTGAAAGGTTCCTTTCCTATATTTTCACAAAGTTCGACTGTTTTCGAGGCGCACTAGTACTTACTGTAGTAAGTCTGTATTCACTGGGTATCTCATAATCAACAGTCAGAACAATAGATCTGGTGTCTTTTTCACCTGTAAGAAGAAAAACTAATGAGACAAGAGACACTTGTGTTGACATCACACTGTGTGGGTCATAGGGAGACTTACTAGCAAGGTAGTTTTGATTACCTCAGGTTAGAGGTGTCTGTATGTCTGTCCTGACATTTCCTCAGGGTGATAACATCACAGCTGTGTATGATGGTAAATGGCCTGTATTGATGTATGAATGTGCTGTTGAGATCCAAATGAAGCCCAAGCATGAGGGTTGAACTCATTGGTTGGAATTAAATGTTGACTTGTGTGATGCCAGCACAATATTTTCTTTATTTCTAATTTCAACACCTCAAACAAACCCCACACCCAGACTTCTATTGTTTTTTCAAAAAGACAAATGAACCTGGAGATCTGTCTTGCCCAGTTGCTCAGGTTGTCTGTCTCCTTCAGGGAAACGCAGAGGCTACTCACAGCAGCGGATATGTTCCTGGAGATGGTCCTCAAGAGAGATTTCCCAGAGTTCATCACCACCTACTTGAATGAGGACCACACCTTTCTCAGCTCTCAGAGCACAAGACAGGCGGCCGCTCTGGATAAACATGGGCACCATTCCAACCTGTGAAGGGCGAGCTGGAACACAGCTTTTTGTAAACACTTTTGGACATTTTTCATTGTAATGACTTGGATTAGTGCTCCATGTCTGCATCGCTCTGTCACTGGCTGCATGTATCTGATGATGGAAACTAGACTTGGGTTTCAAATAATCTGCAGATGTGAGATTTATTGCCTCAATTTCTGTTAAACTCTTGAATGAATTTAAATCAATAACCTTCCCTTGTTAGAAATAAACAAATGCATATCATACTGACGTTTGGGTTTCTGTGAAGACTTGGAAAACAATACAATCCATAGACGGCTGCATACTGTTTTCATCGTGTGTGTGTGTGTGTCATTGTACAGATGACCCTGCAGACAAATACGTCAAAAAGATCTACCACTGAGGCAGCTTTCTTCAACATCAGGCCATCTTACCACAAGATCACACCTAGCCATAAAGAACTGCTGCATATTCATGGGTCTGAACATTAGCATGTTGATTGGCATCGTGGCTGCTGTGACATTTTGAATCGTGGACCTGAAAATACTGTATCACATCAAGAGAAGCCCGTTCTAAGGAAACTAAAAAGAAACAGGTCATTGCTAACGGATATCAGTGAGGACTGATGTATTTGAGATATGTATCCACACGCAGAAGGAGACTGTTGAGTGAACTATAACATGAACAAACTTCATGGTTGCTGAATAAGGTGGTGTCCTGCATTTGTTCAGAGAAGGGTTTTCATGTGGTAGATTCCCCAGAGGATCAAACTGAAGAGGTGCAGACTAACAAGGCAACAACTCCCGTCAACTGCAGCTCCCTCGGTACTGTCCTCCATGCCCCAGCAGCGCCATCATGTGGCAGAGCAGAGCATTACAGGAGATGTACAGGTAAGTTACCTTGTCAAACAGCAGCTCGTGTTCCGAACAACGTTCCTCCAACATCACCACCACAATGTAACCGTTAAGTTTTGCAAACATTGCTTTATTAATCCATTTGTCAGTTTGTAATATATAAATTACTTTTAAAAATGTGAGAAGCAGATGCACCTACAAGAAAGACATGGCATGAAAACACAGTTATAGAAAACCTAATCTGTGTTTACAGAAGCCATCGGAGCCAGCCAATGTCCACTTCTCCTACCATCCTCTTTGTCTCTGCATATCATATGTTTCTGTTGTTTTTTTCCATTACAGAACAAACAGTGGACAGGGCCTTTTTTATTGTTTAAAAAAAGTTAAGTGGGCATCGCCTTCTTGCATGTGCTCCCTTTTCTGTCTCTCCTGTGGTGATCAGTCCATCCAGATCAGTGCAGTGTGGGGGGGGCGAGTCTCAGCAGCCATGGCCCAGGAGCTGGAGGGGGTTGGGATGGGGATAGTGGTGTGTTGGCGGACTAAGGCGTCTGGCAGCGTGTTCACACCTCCTCTTCCTTCTCCTCCATTCCTCTTGACCAGCCTCACATTTCGTTTACCATGTCATCGTGTTCTCCTGCCGAAAGGTCGCCGTTGGCGCTGACTGTGGTGCTGTTGTCTTGGTAACCAGGAGGCATAAAAGCCAAGCTGTAGGGGTAGATCTTATGGCAGGCGGCTCGGTAAGTCTCAGCAGCCTTCTTCTGCCCCTCGCCCAGCTGCCCCCCACGCAAAGCCTCCAGCACCTCAGTGCAGACCTGCAACACACACACAGTTAGTTCCTTACATTCAGTGAAATGAGATCCGTGGGTTAGACAGCATATCTTTAGGCTAAACCTGTGGTAGACCCCATGGAAACCTGTGGTGCACATCCTGAATTGCAGCTCAAGGTTCTTTTGATCCTGTTCTGGGAGCCCCAAAAATATACCTTAGTCTACAACCTGGTGTCATTTGTGTTTCTTAACAACATTAGACTAAACTGAAGATTTGTGCTATGACGTATACACAAATTCTACAGATACTATTTAGGGGAGAAAAATCGAAGATGAACCATTTACAAATGCACTGAGTAACATCATACTTGTTAATTGATGATAAAGCTGCTGACGGGCTATGTCTATGTGCAGACATACGTGTAGCTCACTTCATATTTCAGTAATGCAGGTTCTTAAGAGTTTGTCTCTTACCTGGGAGCCTCTTCCAGTCAATGACTCATCCAGGGCCGTGGCAATCTCACATGCCATCTTATCAGAGGAGGGCTCCAGGTAGACCATCATCTTAGCAGCTGCAAACACAGACACGTTTTACTGACAGCAGTTTTACATGTTGGATGAGAGTCCAGGGCACTCGTCACAGCACCTCGGCCCCGATATTAACATCCATCCTGAGAGGTTCCATCACAGGTGAACAGTGTTAAATATTATCTGTTGAGTCGCACTGTGTTTGTGTCCGTGTCATCATTAGCGAGCAAGAGAGAGGAGTCAGGAGGGACTGAATGGATCTGTGAAACTGTAGCAGGACTGAAGACAACAGCTGAGAGGGCAGCCTTTCATGTGGCCCAGGTCGGATGTGGGTTCACTTCACACAGCTAAAGGAACGTGGCCACATGCCTCCCAGACCACCTCTGAACGTGCTCTGAGTGATCAGATCTCAGGACGCTGTTCAGGTACATTCAGACTTGAATTTAGCACTTTAGTTAATCTGTGGTATGGAAGTATGCAAACTGACACAACAACATTTTTGAGAGGAGGGGGGAATTAAAAGGGATGATGAAAGATGTCGCGTGTGTGCACATGTTACATACCAGCCAGTCGGTGTGGGATGGAGTTGGAGTGTTGGCTCAGATAGCTCTTGTTGAAGCTCTGAGGATTGTTCTCCCCAAACAATCTGGAGATCTCCTGCTTCAACACCGTCCTCACCGCCTCCGCCAAGTCTGCTCCCTCACTCACTGCACACAACCAAATTAATCTTTCAACAAAATCATCAAAAACTCATGCAACTAATCGTTTAGAATGTGCACACTGTGGCACCGCCTCCTGAGGTGCGGGCAGTAAATCAGCCAAAGCTGTGCCTTATGTCGTTCACTTGACAACGTTGTCTCTTCTAGAGTTTGAAAAATGGCGGAGACAAACACTGCCACAGATACAGCAGAGACAAGTAGTCAAACATGTGGCAACACTTCACATTTAAACCTTCAGAGAAGATGATTAGATGCAAAATGTACAAAGCTGATATAAATGGAACAGCAGCTGGTCTGCAGTGAAACAGGAGGCTCATTCAGCAGGACAAGCTGCTGTAACATTTGTTAACCAAGTTTGATTACCTAAATTAACTTTACAGATAACAACAGCAATTCAACGAGGCGTTAGGGCTGTGACGGTAACCGCATTAACGCAATACTGCATGCGAAGCCTACCACGGGACTGAGCTCATTACCGGGAGGGTACCAAGCCCAGGGAGCCATGCACTGCTCCACAAGCAGAGAGCACAGGGCACAGACTGAGGGACCCTGCAATAATATGCAGTGAGAGAAAAATCCATACCGTCACAGCCCTACTAGGTGTACGGTGATTCTCCTTCATGCTCACCTCCTTTGAAGAAGCGCACTAGACACTGGTGAAGCCACGGGTTGGAAGGTTCTATGGTTACAGCTCCCTTTATCGACTGCAGCATCAACAGATACTTCTCTGGAGGAGAGAAGAGAATCAAACATGATATTAGTTGGAGTAATTAAAGGTGGAAACGTGTGTTTTTTCCTGATCATAGCAGTATGTTTTACCGCTCTCTGTACGCAACTGACCTTTCCTGAAGTAGATCTCGAAGGCCAGGAGGTGAGTCTCAATTTTGTTGCGCACTAAGTTCTTCAGAGGGATCAAGAACTTCACTGCCTCCTCCAGAGGATTCTCCGGCTGGTAAAACGAGTTAAACATTACTGAACCGAGCCTGTGTATTTATACAGCACAGCTACTGAAGGAGCTGGTGAATGTGAGCCCACCTTAGCCAGTTTGTCTGGTATTAGCTCCTCCTTTGGCCCACCTATCTCCTCATCATCATCCTCCTTCTTCTTTTTCTGGTTCTTCAGCTGCTTCTCCTTCTCAGCAATCTTCTTCTCCTCCTCTAGCTGTGCCTTCTTCTGGGCTCGTCGCTGTTTGTTTCTCAGCTTCTTCAGCTCCTTGTCTGTCAGGTTCTCTACAGAGAGCAAAATGGTAAAAGGAATTGTTAGTTCTTTTCAGTGCTACTTTTAAGATGCCACTGTCACCAATTGTCCCACTGGAGATTCCTGGAACTATAGAAACAGGAAGTAAAGTAGGAACTTTATTTACATAACTTTTGTGCATTCCACTTTAAATCTGTTGAGCCAAGAAGATTATGTAAATAAGAGCAAGCACAACAGCATGATGACGGTGGGTTTCTGATCAGCTATATACCTTTGTTGAATCCCCCCCATGTCTTTGTCCTCTTCCCTGTCATCTATCTGCATTCTGTCCTCAAGACAATCAACAACTGTTCTACACTTCACAAAAACATGAAATCACATAAGTTGACTAAAAACTGTTTGTCTCTCACACACGTCTCTAGTTGTGAGGACACTCATTGACATAATGCATTCCCTAGCCCCTTACCCAAACCTTAACCATCACAACTAAATACCTAACCCTTACCCTAACCTAAACTTAATTGTAACAAGAAAACCAAGTCTTAACCTTCAAACAGCCCATTGAATTTGTGAGGACCAGACAAAATCCCCCAACGTCAAAATGTCCTCACAATGTCCTCACAATGTCCTCATTACTATAAATAGACATGTGCGCGAACACACAGTCTGACCGTTGTCTGCCTGGCTCTCCTTGTTGTCGTCAGTCAGAGGCTTGTCGTGCAGGGCCAAGTAGATCTGGATGGCTGTTCGAGCAGCTTTGTAGAAGAAGGGATGCTGCCGCAGGACGTCCTCTAGCTTCAGCAGGTCCACGTAGGAACGCAACGTCATCTTCCTCATGCAGTAGGTGTGGAAGTCAAACTGGTCGTCTGTGATCTCCACAAAATGCTGATGAGGAGGAGGAGGAGAAGAGAGTGAAGACAGGAGAACAACACTATATTTAGGTATGCAGGTGTTAGAAGTGATGTTTTGATCACCACTGCACTTTGATTTGAATACATCTCATACAAAACATCCATAGCCAGGGGAACAGAAATCTATTAGTCTGTAAGGAATCACTTGAATACTTCAGGTTGTATTTTTTAAATTCAACAAGGTCAAATGTAGACAGTGGTGACAGCAGAGACTCACCCTCTCAATCTCGTGGCACTTCTTCAGAGCCTCTCCAAACTTGTTCATGGCCTTGTAGG